TTCTCCTTGAATTAGCATATTGGGTAGGTGAACGGGGAATTCAGAGTCGAGTGGCAAACAGCTTGGCCGTCCTATCGACCTGCAAGCCGCATCCAGTTGCACCGCGCCGTGCAGGCGCTGACCTTGCTAGGCGCTGAACTGGCTGCGAAGGGCTTACAGTTATTCGCAGTGTATAGGTTGTACACAATACAACAGTATGGACAGAGGTAGCATAGAAAAAATGAACGAACGAAACAAAAATTGATCGGCTCATAAAAAGCAGAAGGTGTTGCTTGTGCTTGCTTGTGTGGGCTTAAAGTCTGGTAAAGCAAGAACTAGCTTGCAACATAGACTCCCCGCCGAAACGGGACGGGAACCGGGCGAAAGCAGAGAAAGCAATAAATCAGGGGTGGAGCAAGGCGACATGCAACGCAAGCAGCTGACAGGGCACGCATCGAAACGTGTGTATGACTGGCAAAGTGGCATGGCGCATTGGGGAGAAACGCAACGGTACGGGAGCATGGGCTGGCCAAACGGCAGTGCGGAACGCTAGGTCACTAGAAAAGCAGGGAAAGGCGCACTATGTATGCAATGAGGGCAGCCCCGGCTCGGGGCCGTTGAGAAAGCAGTGGGCGGGAGGGGGGAGGCCCCGGTGTGGGCGGGCCCCATCGAGGGGGGATGGGGCGCGCAAGCGGCCAGATGGGGCGGGGCGCGGGCGGCAGTGGAGTCCTGCGGCTGGGTGGGATATAGGGCAATGAGCGTTGAGCAGTGTGCGATGAGCAATGAGCAATGAGCAGTGAGCAGCCCCTCCCGAAACAAAGTGAAGCGCACGACGGGGTCCGGTGGATGGGAGGCAAGGAAGCGCGGGGGGGTTGCCACGTGCGCTACCGCCGCCGCCGCAGGCAGCACCCCTGCGGCGGCGGCAGCGGCAGCAAGCCGTGGACCCAAACGCCGTGCCGCCGCCGCCGCAGGCAGCACCCCTGCGACGGCGGCGGCAGCAAGCCGTGGACCGAAACGCCGTGCCGCCGAGTCCCGTGGCTGTGGCCGTGGGCTTCTGGCAGGAAACTACGGCCGCAACTCGGCAGCACGGGGGCGTCGCAGCGTGCCCCCGCCGCCGCCGCGCTGCCCCCCGGGCACGGCGGCGGCGGCAGCAAGCTTGGGCCCAAACGCCGTGCCGCCGAGTCCCGTGGCTGCGACCGTAGACCGTGGGCCGGAAACTGCGGCCGCAGCTCGGCGGCACGTGGTTCTGTTCAAATCGCCAAGCGTGCAGCAGCGCCGAACCACGCTTCCCGGCCTCGGCGCATGCCTTCAGGGGCCCCCTATCGCTGGGCACACCCCTCCAACACCGAACATGCGCCCGGGGGGGAGGGCGGCCCGGGCTGCCCAGGCCAAAGTGGGCCGCCCTCGAGCAAGAGGCGGCCGGTCTGTGTGCTGAATGAATGAATGGATGCGTACTACTGCAACGGCGGCGAGATCGAGAGGTTTGCAATCGACCCGTGCACTCACTCCAGCCGCCCCTGCTCCCCCCGCCTGTTGGCGCTTGCAGAGACCGATGACGATTTGGATGATGTTATTGTGCGTCCAACACACCTGCATGAATGCTACAGAAAACTTTTTACATGATTTTACAGGCTGGCATGGAGGGGCAGAGCTAGCCAGGGTGCCGTGCCGGGCGCCATGCCCCTCAGCCCCTCTCACGCTACACCTCCCTCCACCCAACTTGCCT